CGATTTCAGGGGGACACGCGAGGTCAAGGGGGCTCGTGGGGTCACGCGAGACCTCAAGGATGTGTGATTGTGGACATGGGAGACCTGAGGCTCAGTTTGGGTCACGGGGGACACAAAGGGCAGAAGATATTGGGTGCATTAGAGCCGGGGGCATGAGACTGTAGCGTGGGAGATCCAAGGGAACCTGGGGCCTCAGGACACTTGACGGACAGGAGATCAGGGGGTCATACAAGACCCCAGGGGATGCTGGGGTCATTCGGATGGGCTGTGGGGATCAGGTAACTATGTGTTCTAAGAAGTCTGTGGATGTGAGCCATCACAGGGCAGACGCACGGCATCCGAGGGGTGTGCGACCTCAGTGGTTCTGGGGTCACACAGACCTGACAGGTGTGAGCATTAGGGGCGGGGGTCTGGGGTTCAGGGAGAGCCGCAGGTTTTAAGATAGGAGTCCCATGCTTGCAAGCACAAAGCTGGAGATTTGAAACTGGACACGTGGGGTTCATTGTGGCTGCAGATTTGAGGAGGTTAAGGGACTCTGAGGCCATGTGAGGTGTTGGGGGGGGAGCCCGGCGGTCGTGAGATTTGCATGGGCGCGTGTGACCCGAGTTGAACTCCACTGTCACTTATGGGCAAAGGTGAGGACGGAAGGGCAGGAGGGAAGTCGCAGCCTCGGGCTGAGTGGTTCTGACCTCACTGTCCCGTGTTGGAGACACAGGACAAGTGGCCCAAGTGGACAAGCTAGCTTCCGGTGAGCACCCACCGGAGCTGGCCTTCCTTCCCCGGGTGCCATGCAGGGGAGTGGGTGAAGACTGGAACATTTGAAGTGTTCTGGGGGCCCAGCACTCACATTTGAGGCATTGTGAGTCCTGCGTGGGAACTGGCTGGCCCCCTACAGCTGAGCTGTCCAGCACAGCCTTGGTATGAGACAGATCACCCTGCATAGAGAAGTCGGGGTCGCTGGGGAGGCCATAGAAGGCTGGCCCCTCAGGCCTTCCTTGTGTTGTCAGGCCTCATTTGTGGTCAATAAACTCAGTGTCCTGGCATTGGTCCCCTGGTGAGTCCCCAGCCTGAGGAATAGGAAGTAGCTCACATAGAGTCCTGTGCTAAGTTGGGGCAGCGGTGGGGGGGGGGGGGGGGGGGGGGGGTCTGACATCCTGGGACCTGAGTGAGAAGACACGCTTATCCCACAGAGCACCTGGGACCACAAGAACCTCAAGGTAGGCTAGAAGGGAGGCTCTCTGTGTGCAAAGGCCCTGTGTAGGATTAGGAGGGGAGCTGCGGCTGGGAGAAGGAAGCCCTGATGTTGAGTGTGGACCGTAGAGGCTGTGTTTTTGAAAGTGCATACTGCAGCCTGAGACAGGAGGCTCTCCCATCCAAGTCCAGCTACTTAGCAAAGCCTTCTGAAAAAACAGTGCATCTGGACTGCGGGGCTCACAGAGGACAGGAAGGAGGTCAACCATGCTTTGGACCACTGAAGCCAAAGCTGAGGAGCAGTGGTGGGCAGGAGGCCTGCATGGGAGCCTGTCCTGGTAGAGGAGACCCTGTGAACCAGGCCTCTTCTCAGCACGCGGCTGGTGTAGGGTCCTCTGTCTTCCCTGTGGGGTCCTCACAGAGAGGGTAGGCAGGTGGTCCTGCCTCCATTCCCTCACTGCACTGTGGTCAGCTGGCCTTGCTGGGTTCCATCTTGTGTCTCAATTACTGGATGGTCTGCCCCGCCCTGATTTTTCTCTTCTGAGAAGTGGGGTGAGTGTTCACTCCAGCTCTACCCTGAACTCACCTATTTCTGGGCTCCATTTGCAGGCCTGCTTGTACCTTGTCCTTGGGCAGCCAGCTCCAGGGTGGCAGGGTATCAGCACATGCTCGGTGGAGTGGAAACCCTGCATGTGTTGAGGATAAGTCTGGGGTCAGAGTGGACCTTGTGTAAGTCGGGAGTGTGAGAGCAGCAGCCAGAGACACTCGTTCATCTGGTGCTGCCCAGCAGTTGAGGTGGCTTCTCTGAGCAGCCTTCAGGGTGGCACAGGACAGCCACCTTCCCTGTGACACAGGTGACAAGATGCTGTTTAAGGTCCACAGCTAGGGAGGAAGGCCTGTGGGTGACAGGGTCATTAGAAGACCTTGGCAGGACCTGGGGACAGGTTAAATGATACCTAGAGTTTGACTGTTGGCTCCCAGCAGCCTGTCTGGTGCTGGTAGGGTGGCCTTTACAGCAACTCCCCATGATTGGGTGTTTTGGGCACTGGGCGCCAGCTAACACGAACTGTCCACACTCCACAGACACTGAGCTCTTCTAGCAGGAAGGGTGCTGAGCTTCTCCTGGCTTGTCACAGTCCCTCTGTCTGCTTACTTTCTGCTACAGGGGAATTGGGGGATCTGAGGAGCTGGGCTGACCCAGGACAGTAAGCCAGTGGGTAGGGGTCTTATCAGAGACAATAGGGTGAGTGGGGCATAGGACAGAGTTGGGTATGGCAGGAACACGTTCGACTATTGACACGAGTCAGGAGGCATAGCCTAGGCAAAGGCCCTGGGCTAGCCTAGGGAGGACCTGGAGTTCCTACAGTACAGGGCCTGGAGCAAGCAGCCGCCAGGGAAGAGTGCAGATCTGAGACATGGATGCAGAGGAGACAGTTGAGCATATTTGAGACCTGGCCTTGCTATGTCCCTCTGGCTGCCTGTCTTGACCTCCCTAGTGGCTGGCTCCATGGGTCTCCCTATGGTGCTAGCCTTGTGAGGGATGCTGGTGACAGACCCTGCGTGATCACTGTGTGACACACAGTCCCTGAGGCCGCCTTTGGATGTGCAGGAGCTTCAAAGGAGCAGGTGGCTGGGGGTGGGGGGGAGCTGTGCAGGGATGAAAATACCAGGATGAGGGGAGAGGAAGGCAGGAGGGTCTGAGGGCTCCAGAAGGGTCAGACCACTGATGGACAGGCTGTGGGAGAATAATGACATAGGAGTTAAGGAGTGCATCTGAGCGTCACCGAGCTGTCTGCTCAGCCCTCGTCCCTGTCAAGCGCCAGCTCTGACCACAGAGTGGTGGTGGGCTCTGGGGACTTCTTGGCTATCAAAGGGGGACAGGGTTGGGATGCCAGCGCACCCCGATCCTGGCACGGATCTCTCATCTGCCAGCTCAATCCTTCGTGGTCCACTTGCATGTCTGAGAGGACATGTATCCTAGGAGATGGTTGTTATCTGCATAAAGAGGACAAACCAACGGACAGATGATTGGACAGAGGGATGGAGGAATGGATGAATGACTGGGTAGGCAGGCAGGCATATGGACAGATAGGCAGATGGATAGAGGATGAAGACTATTAGGCTGAAGGGTAGAGCCTAACGGGGCTATGGGCTGGGGGTGCAAGGTCCCGAGTGTGCCCTGGGGAAGAAGTGAGATGTGGGAAGGCACACTGGGGTGTGCGGGTGGAGAGAAGGCAGAGGGAAGCAGGGCCTGAGTCAAAGGTAGATTATTTTAGGATGAGGGCCTCAGCCAGGGAGGGTGGGGCAAGGATGGCTTTGTGAGGCCCCTGGAGCTTGCCACCCATCCCTTTATTCTCATGTCCCTGTGGGGACTGGTGGGGCAGTGGGGACACCCAGAGGACCATACATGTGTGAGCTGGAAGGACCAGTGCCCAGCAAGTGGAAGGAGGGCTGGGTGGGATGGGCTCGACCGCTATGGCGGGGATGTGGCCCTGCCTTCCATCAGTCATGAGTCTGCCTGCCCACATCCCAAGGTACAAGAGGCAAGCACAGCTCTCATCTTGGGCCAGAGCAGAGGCACCATTACTGTCTCCTTGAGTACAGGAAATAAAGGTTATGGTTACCACTGGATACTAAGGATGAAGATGGGGCCCTTGGGAGGGGCCTTTAGCTGGAGTCTTGATGAATGCATAGGAGTTGGCTGCCAATGAGTTGAAGAAGCTGTTCTCTGTGATTGGTGGAACTGGGGATCTAGTGTGGGCAGTGAACCAAGCCTTGTGGGTTAGATGAAGGATCGACTAGGGGACCTGCTCGTGGCCTGGTGTTGGGCTGGGCCCATGGGCATGCCTCTGCTGAACAGCCTGAACCGTTTACCACCTGCCTGCAGGCTCGCCCTGTATGTGTATGAGTACCTGCTGCACGTGGGGGCACAGAAGTCGGCACAGACCTTCCTGTCTGAGGTGAGTGAGCATCTGTCTCCTCCACCAGGGCGCCCCAGACTGTCCTGAATCGTCAGGCTTGTCTTGTCCCTGGCAGGGTTGGCGGATCCCTCCTGGGTACCTGCCCTCACTAACCCTCTTCCCCATAGATCCGCTGGGAGAAGAACATCACGCTGGGCGAACCCCCTGGCTTCCTGCACTCCTGGTGGTGGTATGTGCCCGTGTGAGAGCAGACAGGGAAGCGGGAACTTGGGGGGTCTGTGGGATCACCTTGTTCCCTCTGCTGCCCACAGTGTCTTCTGGGACCTTTACTGCGCAGCACCGGACCGCAGAGAGGCTTGTGAACACACCAGTGAGGCCAAAGTCTTCCAGGACTATGTGAGTCTCCAAGGTTCTGGAATCTGGGGCACTTCTTTTGTTTTTGTTTGTTTTCAGACAGTGTTTCTCTGTGTAGCCCTGGCTGTCCTGGAACTCACTCTGTAGACCAGGGTGGCCTTGAACTCACAGAGATCCACCTGCCCCTGCCTCCCGAGTGCTGGGATTAAAGGTGGGTGCCACCACACCTCTCCTTATTGTTTTTAAAAAGTACTTCTTATTTTATGCGTATGAGTGTTTTGCCTGCAAGTCTGTCTGTGCACCATGTGTGTGTGTGTGGTGCCTGTGGAGGCCTGAAGAGGGCCTCAGGTCCCTTGGAACTGGAGTTACAGATGATTGTGAGCTGCCACGTGGGTGCTGGGAACTGAACCTGGGGCTTCTGTGAGAGCAGCCAGTCTCCTAACTGCTGAGCTGCCTCTTCAGCCTCCTTGAATTTTTTGTTTTGTTTCATATAGGATCTCACTAAGTAGTTCTGTTATCCTGGAACTCCGATGTAGCCTAGGCTGGTTTTGAACTGACAGACATCCCTCTGCCTCCGCCTCTAGAGTGTTAGGGGTAAAGGCCAACTCCCTGGCCTCGGTTTCCCTTTGGCACAGTAGGCGGTACCCGCCTCCGCCCCGCAGTTCCTTGGCGCCGGTTGCTATGGCAGCGTGGGCGTCGAAGGGCGGGGCCAGAGCAGACTGGTCCTAGGCGCCCCACGGCTGCGGCCCCGACCTTGGCGTCTCCTGGAAACGCTAGTGAGCCCCAGCCTGTCGTCATGGTAACGCCGGTAGCGACGGCGGCGCTGATGCCGCTATGGGATGATTGACTGGGGCGGGAAGGGGGGGCTTCCTTCTCAGGCTGCCCTCCTGCAGTGCCCAGCTGGTCTGCACGGAGGGATTGGGAACAGGCCAGGCGTGGGGGGCTTTGACCATGACAACCCCTAAATCACCGGGATTACAATGATTTTGGGGGTTCCTTGCAAGTGCCCTTTCGCTGTGGGCTACTATCATTTATTCCTCGGAGCCAGACCAGAGTGCTTGCAGCAACCTCTGGGCAGCAGGAACAGGTCACGAGGGACCTGGGTCTGAGCTATGGAGGGACTGTCCCCATTCTAGAGATCATGCCAGAAGCCTGCCTGTACTAGCCAGCACAAGCCCCAGGGACACGTCCTCCATCTGGGAAGGCAGTAAGAGGAGAGGGTCACCAGAAAGGGCCACCCTGAGTTCAGCCCTCCCAGACTTTGGCTCTCACTTTCTGCCCTTTGGTCGCCAGAGTGCGAGCAGGCAGAGGAAGGGGCCTGTCAAGCCTGGCCCTTGTCTGTCTCAGGAGAGTTGGGGTCTGACCCTACCCAGAGCGGTGGGTGTGCGTCTACAGTGCAGGACCAGGAAGGAAGGAGCCCTAGGGACTGGCTGCATACATTGGGGGTGGGTCAGTGGAACACAGGCCAGATGAGATGAGGGGGAGCCACACAAGTCTGGGGGTGTGGCTACTCCACTTCTCCTTTCTCTGGTCCTAATTGACATCCCAGCTTAACCACATGACAGCTGTCCCCAGGCTGTTTGCACAGATGAGGGTAAATCCTGTTCAGACAGTCACCTGTTGTGGCTCTCACCACATCCTCTGGTGTTTCATATCCTTGCAGAGTACGGCAGCCCCCAACCCTGTGATGGGCGCCATGGCCCCTAATGATGCAATGGGGGCAGGTCCTGTGGCCCCAGGCTTCTTTCAGGTATGGCTGCCTGGGGCCTCCTTTGTCCCTACAGTTGAGGCAGGGGTAAGCTGCAGGCTAGGATTCAGTGGAAGGGCTGTTGCCACAGTGGGTGTGAACACGTGTGCACCTTGTCACGGCTAGTGACAGGCATGGGTGTGTGCCCTGGGTACTGGTGGCTGCTGGTCCCACAGTCCTGCAGGCTGCCACCATCCCCTCAGGCTTCAGAAGTTTCCCCACTCACCCTCGAGATGTGTAGCTGTTCCCCAGAGCCACAATGGTGAACCCCACAGCTGGGTAGGGGCCCTCACATTCTGGTACCTTGTACTGCTCCTTCTTGCAACTGTGCCAGCTGGCTGTGGTCTGCAATCTGGCTTTGAGGCAGGGAACTAACTAGCAAAGTTGGAGACCCCAGCCTCCACCCTGCCCTCAGGCTTAGTAAGAACAGGGATTCTTTAGGGAAAGTTTAAAATGGAGATTACTGACTCCCACCCCCCTCTTCCAGCCCTTCATGTCACCACGGTTCCCAGGGGGTGCCCGGCCCACCCTAAGGATGCCAGGCCAGGTGAGAGAGGGCAGGGGGGCGGGAGAAGCTGGGGAGGGGGTGTCTCCTCTCCAACTCAGTACTGTGCCCCCCCACAGCCTCCTGTGGGCCTCCCTGGCTCACAGCCCCTCATCCCTAGTGCCATGGACCCCTCCCCACGCGCACAGGGTGAGTAACAGACACTCCAGTTGCTGTACCATGGGACCCATCCCTTCTTGAAGCCCCCATTTGAATGTGGTGACCATGCCAGGGAATGCCCAAGCCTGAGCCCTTTTCCTTATGTCTCTGCCCAGGGCACCCCAGCCTGGGAGGCCCGATGCAGAGGGTGACACCTCCGAGGGGCATGGCCAGTGTTGGGCCCCAGGTAAGGGATGGCCCAACCCATTGTGGGACAGATAAGGCCACACCCTAGATTCTTTCTGACTAACCCTTTGCTTCAACAGGGCTATGGAGCTGGCATGCGGCCCCCACCCAATTCTCTTGCTACCACCCAGGTCCTGCCATCCATGAACATGTAAGGCCTTAGGGTACCCTCAGGCAGGCCATGTATTCAGGGACAACTTGGGCATCGTTTATTCCACTGTCTGGAGGGGAAACTGAGGCCAAAAGTGTCACTTAGCCCTAGGGAATGACGGGTTGCTGGGTCCTGGGCACCTGGGCTGCTGCAGCGCCCCCATCTCTTCCAGGGGTCCGGGGGTGCGTGGCCCGTGGGCCAGTCCCAGCGGTAACTCGGTGAGTGGCAGGCAGGGTGAGCTGGGGAAGGAGGGCTCGGGGGGGCTGCCTGCCACTGAGGCTCATGGTTGTCCCTGCCTGTTCCAGATCCCCTATGCTTCCTCGTCTCCTGGCAGCTACACGGTGAGTCCCTAAAGGTGTGCGGTGGGACCCGCAGGGTGCAGGCCAGACAGGCCATGTCTCACAGTCCCCATGTATGTCTCCGTGTAGGGACCCGCAGGAGGAGGCGGCGCCCCCGGAACACCCATCATGCCCAGTCCTGGAGGTAAGGGGCATGCGTGTTGGGGTGGGCCTGGGTCCCCATTCCACGCACCCACCCACGCGTCCCCTGCTGTTCCCCGCCCTCCTCCACCACCTCCAGCAAGAACATGTA